CGGTCTCGGTCCCGCCTCCTCCGGATCAAAATTACACGGTTCGTAATGTAACTGCGATTCGGCGTGCCTGCACGCCGAATCGGTCCAATTCCGTCGTGGCCAACTCGAGTCATTAGTCCAGTCAAAACGTAACTCGACTGGACCGATTTGGCATGCAGGCGGCCGTGCTCGCTTTCAACGACCTTTCATCGAAAACGACATTCATTCATTCGACATTTCATTGAAAACGAGGGGAAACGACCTTTCATCGTCGGTCGTTTCCACTCGCAAAAATGAAAGGTCAGAAATATCTTCGAGTCGTCTCAGACCCCGTAAGAAAATGGGTCAGGGATCTGGTCCACCGTCGCTCGCCATCGAGGCCGGGGCACTCATCTTTTGCCCCTTTCGGCAGTGCCCCAGATCATCTGGGGGTTTGTCCCGAAAAGGTGACATATGTGGAAAGATGACTCCATTAGCCCGATTGTGCCATCCGGGCCGAAAGAGGAAAGAGGGAAAAAAAGGCCTCCATTGTCACGATGGCCTGCATGAATGAACCCGAAGCACGGCGGGGCTTAACGGAGACGCTAACTGTCGCATCCGCTGGAGGCGAGGGCCCCCACCGACCGACTGCCGGGGAGAAAGGGGAAGGCGACGAAGGGGACAGGACCTTTCGTGGTGTGGCCGTCCACCTCCACGATCGTCTGGCCGATGCGGATCCCCGGGGTCTCGATCGCAGCTCCGTCTTCCTGTTCGGAGGAGGGCCGCGTTAGGGGCGTGGAGGATGTTCGCGGTGGAGGAGGGTGGAGGGGACGACTCACGTGGAGGGTGATGATCCGGGGGATCTCCTGCTTCGTGTGCTTGCCTCCTTCGATGGCCATGCCCAGGGTCGGTCGGGTCTTTCGGATCCTCACTCGCATGTAGCCGGAGGAGTCCAGTTCCGGTTGAAATGCCTTGCGAGAGGGAGGAAAAGTGAGAGGGGGGATTCGACGTGGAGGCTGATCGTTTTCGAGAGAAAGAGAAAGCGATGGGATCCTCTCGACTCGGTGATTATAAATCGCCATAAATCTGGTACGTAGTTAAATTGGCTGACTGTGCGTTCCGAAGGCGGCGAGTGGGTTCCTTTCGTCGTGAACTCGTCCTCGGTTACTTTCGAGACGACGGCCGAAAGAAACGAAGATGCTTCGTTCTCCTTACCTTTCTTCGCGTGGACGGGAGATCCTCTTTGTCGGGCTCGACAAAGGATAAATGACGCTGCTTCCGCACGTCGGACAGACCTTGACTCCCGAGGCCTTCCTCCTCGAAGCCGTAGGGAGGCTCCCCGCTCGCGATCCCTTCCTTCGAAAACAGAGGAGAGACGGGATCGTGCTCGTTAGGACGCGTAACGAGCGCGGGCGTTGCACAATCCCCCATTACGAATCGTATTCCCGAGAAGAGTGACGCGTCCGACCGTTGCCGGAGGGGAGAGCGTTCGCCGACGTCGTCTCCCGGAATTTTCGCATTTCATCAGAACCGATTATTAGTCATTCCGCGACCGGAAATACTCGGAAGAAGGCCACGAGGCGCGCCCACCACGGGCACGGAAAACGACCGCGTGCATTCCTTCCCCCGCCCCCATCCATGACTGGGATGAGGCGTGTTTCTCCCTTTTTCTCTTTCTTATGGTTTACTCTCTCGATGGCGATTCCCTCCGACATGATGGTCCACATTCCTTCTACATTCCGGGTAGTTCATGATTCGCGGCGGAGACAACCGACGATGGCGCCTGCTCCCTGCCCCCCCCCCCCCCCCCCCCCCCCCTCCCCCC